ATTCCTCAGGCATTTTCTCACCCTCAAATTTGTCACTGGATATTTGAGTCGAAACCTCATTGTCATCTCTCTAAGACATTTCCAAACCTCCACTGGTATGTCATAAGGTCCTACTGCCTTCATTTCCCCTTCATTTTTGTCAGAGCTTTCTGGACTTCACCCTCACTAATCTTTCCCACTTCCTGGTCCATCGTTTCTATGACCTCTACTCTTCTTTCTCTTTCATTCTCTTCATTTGTTAGCTCCTCAAAGTACTCCTATCTTCCCATCACACTCTCCTCACTTGTAAGAACATTACCATTCCTGTGTAAAACATGCACATCTGATTTAAATGGATTCTGAATCATTTAGCTAATTTGTATTGTGAATACTCAGTTTACTGTTTGCATGTCCTGTAAGAGTTTCTGGCACAGAGTTACTTACTTCCAGTAAACATAGAGAGGGAGGGGGAAATCAAGTTGCATGTTTGTTGTATCCAAAGGCTATTATTATTTGACTCGTGAAACATTCAAGATGGTGCTTCTGAATGATCACACATTGGTACCAAAGCTGTATATTTATTTACTCCTACTGTTCAGTTGACTGCAGTATACAGATTGGGCACTAGAGGGCCTAATAATTTGCACATTGGATCTTTAACCTTATAATGTATATTGCTTTGAGCACATATATCATTAGTTTCAATAAATAATTATAGATACTTCTATTACTCTGATAAAGGTGACCTTTTGTGTACTTAGAGATTTTTAAACACGATGGCTCAGATGGTAGATCTGTTTCCTCTTAGATCGCCAGATCAAATCCCAGTTGGCTGCCTTTCTGGGTGGAGTTTGCATGCTCTCTCCATGCTGCATGGATTTTCTCCAGGTACTCTGCTTTCTTCCCACAGACCAAAAAACTGCATGTTAAGCTGATTGGTAACTCTAAATTGTCCCTAGGTGTGAGTGAGAGAGTGAATGGTTGTTTGTCTCTCTTGCCCCTTTTCCACTGTGACGACGCGGGTCAAATATGCTTGGTTCACGTCGGTTTTGAGTGCTTTTCCACTAGTACTTTGTACCTGTTTCACCCCTTTTTGTTGTCCCTTCTTCTCAAGGGGTCCAAGCGAGCCGAGCTGGCATGGAAACGTGACGTCAGAACACTGTCTGTCAATGACTGGTCAGGAGGAGGAGTCACTGGATCTTTCAGAAAACTTTTCACCGAGCCACCATTTGTAATTACTCGGAACAGTTGCTGGACCTATTTTAAATATTTTAAAAACACTAATGACAACACCTTGTTCTAATGCTGAAGTCCAGGAGTTTTTTGTGCTTGGTGGCCGACGACAAAAGTTAGAGCGCGCGAGATGGAGCTCTGCCGGTCTCCCCGGAGCTTGAGAGCCTGCCCAGGGCATCATCTCCCCGGCACCGAACTCTATCGGTCACCGCGGAAGGTCCTCCGTGCTGCTGGCTCGGGCTCCGTGCAGACATTTTTGTATTTGGTGACCAACGACAAAATTCAGAGCAAGCTAGTCACCGTGGAGGAACATACGAGCTGCCGACCATTTGAAGCATGAGAGGCCAGGGCCCGGACACTGGCCTAGCGTGCTCACAAAGGCCAGATTCCGAGCCCTGGCAGACAGATGGACCTGGACAGAGGGTGGAAACTTTTTTTTTTTAAACATTTTATGTATAAAAAATAATGTATTTTTTTTATCAGTGAAGATTAACTGCTATGCTGATGACATATAGATTTACATTTCTACTACATCCATAAACCCCAACATCCACTCCACCCTCACCCATTGCTTAACTGACATCAAAAGCTGGATGAAACACAATTTTCTCTAATTAAATACTGACAAATCTGTCATACTCATCATTAGTTCAAACAGTGTTACCAAGTCCTCTCAAAACTTCTGCCTCAACTTTGACATCACCCTCAATCCATCCCCACTCATTCATAATCTTGGTATTCTTCTCAACTCCACTCTTTCATTCAAATCACACGTCAAATAGATAACTCAGACTGCATTCCTCCATCTCAAAAACATAACACTGTCAGGGTTTGGTGGACAAGAACGAACCCAGTAGCGCAGACAGGACTCAACTCGGCAGATTACAAAACCAAAAACTTTAATGATGAATAAAAAGTAACAAAACAATAAGCTGACGTGGCAGCACACTTACTTAAACTAGTAGACTCAGGAGGGATACTCAAAACGGGACTCAGGAAGCTCAGGAAAACTCAGAAGACTCAGGAGAACACAGAAGACCCAAACGAATACGACGCGACGAAGAACAAGACAGAACAGACAGCTTTTATACAAGGACAAAACGAGACGAGATTACAAACAGCTGTGACGAGACAAGGGTGACACCAATTAAACTGAAGAGAACACA